AAAAAAAAAAAAGTATGAGTACTGAGGTTTTAGAAGTCACTTCTCTAGTCTTCTGTGCTTCAGACATACTGAAATTACCCAGGTGCTTTCATTGGCTTGTTCAAATTTAATTTCTTATAAATTAAATGGCTGTTTTGTTTTTCTTTTAGCTTCTTCCAGATCAGCTGGTCTTGCTTCTAGAACGTCTCTTGGAGGAGAAAACACTCCACCCAAGAACCCTGCAGATCCTCCAGCAGACATACCACCTCCCTAAGCAGGATGCAGAGGTAACATGGAGTCCCTTCTGCTTCTCTCTTCTTTTGTGGGGGAGAACATTGTACCTCTTCCATCCTGGCTGTGGACACCCTGTTCCATTAGCAGGCACTGTGCTGTTTGTTTACAGTTGTGAGGGACCTGTATTCTAGCTGCTTCCCTTGTTGTGTTCGCTCAGCAGAGTGACCAGGGCTGAACTTGCTGGGGTGAGTTGAAGTCCAACAATTTTTCCCTCTTAAATCATAAAGATGAATGTAAGTCTCCTACATAAATAAATAGGTGGGGTATTTTAGAAAGCTGCATGCACAAGAGCCTTTCAGTTGGGGATGGTATTTTGGCAGGCCATCTTATGTGCCAGTGTCATGTGGTGCTCTTGCTTGTTAAAGCAGTGACTCACTTGTGCCCATGCATCCTGTTTGCATTTAGTTAGAGCAGAAAAGGAGCCAAATAAAAAGAAATGAAAACTTGCATACCCATGTTTATCATGGCTTTGTTCACAATAGCAAGGAGTTGGAAACAACCCAGGTACCCATCGACAAACGAATGGATAGAGAAGCTGTGGTGTATTAACACAATGGAATACTATGCAGCATTGAAAAACAAGGAACTCATGCAATATTATTCAAAATGGGTGAGCCTGGAGGACATTATGCTGAGTGAAATTATCTCAGTCACAAAAGAACAAATACTGCATGGTGCCACTGCTATAAAATGGGACTGATATCAGGGTTGGGGTAAGACTGAGAAAAACTGGATAAATTGCGTAACTGCGTTGGAACAGATGAGAGAAAGAATAATTTAAAAGCGATGTATGATAGGGTATTATGGTTATCACAAGCATCCACAATTAAGGTTGCATAGTGGAGTGTACTTGGGGTGGTGGGCGGGGTGCGGGGGGATTGTATATCAAAGAAAGAATTTTTACTTTTCAAAGAGAGGAGCGAACTGGGGTGGGGGAGGGGGCTGGGCAGGGAGAAAAGTGCAACAATGAATGAATGGAAATACAAAATCTATGTAAATGTTCATTAAAATTATTAAAATATAAAAAAAAACCCAAACAAACAAAAAACACCACCAAACAACAAAACAAACAAACAAACAAAATAAAAAGAAAACTAAAGCTAGCAGCCAAGGGTGGAAAAATAAAATTAGATGCCTGTGGGAACGCAATGTTGTCCTTGATATTTTCAACATATTGCAAAGGATGTAATGTGAATCCTAAGATAAATTTCTGTCTGGTTTTTGTTTTGTACAATAATAAGTATTAATGTATTTCATCATTGGAAGTAAAGCAAGAAAGCAACGACCAAGACTTTCATACAAAATTCTTAAAATGTAGAAAATGAGAGTAAGTTCAACTTGATTAACTACGCATTGTCAAAATGCTGTGCATATGGCAGCCATTGCAGTGAGTGCAGGAAATGTGCTGTTTTGAATTGAGATGTGTGGTAAGTGTATCACAGTGGCTACAAGACTTGTTCTAAAAAGAGGAATATATGATATATCATTAAGTTCTTCCTCTTGACCACTATATCGAATTGGTATTTTGGATATATTTAAAAAATACTATCAATTTTGCGATAACAAAAATTAAATAAATTGAAAAAAGTCAGCACTTAATTGAACTGAAAGGGCCAGGTGGACACTGTAATACCCATAAATGCTCATAAAATCAGGAGCTAGTTGAAAAGCTCTTGGAGATAAATTTTCTTTAAAGGAACTTTCAAATGCCAGAGTGTTATTTTTAATAAGTGCTTAAAAGACAGTTCTACTTGTAGGCATTGTTTTTGTTGTTGTTTGATGCCGTCGAGTCGTAGACGACTCATAACGACCCTATGAACAAACAGCCTGAGCACTATTCGTACATAGAGTTTCCGGAGGCAAGCCTTTTCGGAAGTGGATGCTGCTCCTGCTTCCAGGCTTGATTTAGTCAGGAAGCTCCAGCTAGCACTGTCCACCATGGGTACCCATTACCATGACTGGCACATCACTGTCACCGTCTTCAGCATCACAGCAACCACGAGTTACCTCTGTACAGCAACGCACAGACCAGTGCTATACCACCTAGAAAAATGTTTGACAGGAAAACAATTTGAACCTGGCTGAGGGCCACAGATGAATATCACCCACCTTCGGCTACTTGTAGGCATTAGATTATGTTTTAATTGACCTGAGCACCAGGGAACTGGTACCCTCATGCACTGAGCAGCGAAGGAGGACCAGGACAGGTGGCCCAGCACTTGTCCCTTGCCACCTAAAAGCTGTGAGAGGAAGCAGGCTCCACTCTTCTCCTTTCATTTTGGCAGAAAACATATTGTTCTTAACCTAAGGCTCAAGGTAGTTCTCACACATCAACTCTTAAACCTTTTGGAAAGTGTAGCACCTCTTCTCAGGATGCTTGTTTTGACCCTCTCAAGCCATACATACTCTGTTGGCCAAAGACAGGCTCCAGCCTGACCTCTCAAAAGGAGGTCCCAAAACTGTGCAGCAGCCCTGCTAGCTAGCCACGTGGATGCCTCCATGACACACGAGAAAAGGCTTACTTGCTGGAATCATCAGATTCCAGAAAGACTGCTTAGGAAAGGTTGATGCACAGGGTCAGCCTGGCTGAGACTCTCTGTCTCTCTTATTGCCACCTAGTTAGAACTGACTCGTAGCTTACTGTCCCTTGGGCTTCCAGAGTTGTAAGCAGCACAAGAGATTACCCATCTTTTTCCCTTAGAGCAGGTAGACTGGTATCACCAGAGAGGCAGAGGCTTTAGGATAGCAGAACAGCTCTCTACAGATTGTTTCACTGAAGATAAGTTTCCCAACAGAGAGTGATTAGGAAAAGCTACTCAGACAAAGTTTCATGTGAGGCAGAACTAAGGATGAGGGAGGTGCTGGCTCCACAGAGGCAGAGTGGGGACAGCATTCACATGGAGACAGGTTGGTGATAGTGTCTACACAGACGCAGCAGCAGCAAGTGCAGAGACGTGAGCCTTGTGCTCTAGGTCAGAGACAGTATATAAATAAGGACCCAAGGTTTCAGACCACTTGGTCTTTGTGGTCTTTGTTGCAACTGTTCCATTTTAAGAAAGCAGCCATAGATCATACATAAAAGAATCAGTGTGACTGCGTTCTAGAACTTTTCCTTATTGGTCTCATATAGTTACCACTTACCACAAAATGCCTGTTTTTGTTTTAAAACTGCCGTACTATTGTAAACTACACAGACCACTTGTCCTGTGGGCTGATTTGGTTTCCACCCTGCCAGCTATAGTTGAAACGAATGAAAGATTACAGAAGTCCTAGAAGCTGGTATGCTATCTTCTCTCTCTCTCTCCCATTTCTCACTCTCAAGCACACATTTTGTTACCCTGAAAACTAATGTATTGTGAAGTTAGCCTGAAGTGTGACTCAGAACCAGAAAACTTAACAGGATTTTGGCCAACTAGAATGTTTCTGGATGCTTTATTAGTTAAATGTGATTTATTGTGATGACACTTGGCTAGAATTTAAAGGTCTACTTTTATTTTAAGGGACAGAACAGAAAAAGCCATGCTTTGGTGAGATTGAGTCCTAAATATTTTGACCCTAAGGGACTTCCAGCTGTACTCCAAGCACATTACTGTTTAAAACACAGACAGTTTTGAGGGGAATGGCTGGGGTCTATGGATTCAGCAGCTGTGCTGCAGCGTCCCTTGGGCAGTGTGGCTCCAGAGAGGGCTTCTGGCAGGGCTAGAAACGTGAGGAAGGTGGCTGGGCGGGGTGTGGCCTCAGTTGGACGGGATAGGGCTGAGTGTACAGGGGGAGGGGCAGAGCAGATTGTGCGGGTGGGGGTGGGGAGGGGGTGATTGAGCACTGCAGGGCAGAGCTAGATGTGCTCTTTATGGCAGGGCTGCAGTGTTGTGCTCTGTCTGGTGTGGGCATACATTGAAGCAGGAGTGCCTGTTGGGGTGCCCACCACTTGCCTTCCTGTATCTGGTACTCTGTTGTGTCCCCCACCCCCGTCCCCTCTCTGAAGATACTCAGAAACTCACCCTCCCCTATGGGCACATCTCTGTTTACATGCATATCACCTTGTGAGAAGATGAGCATACTACTGAGATTGTTACTTGCAAACCTGTCTCCAAATCACTTTTGAATCTTGCTGTTTGTAGACCTAATTGCAAAATGTTTTGCAAAACTTTTATTGTCATATCAGTATTTTTAAATGCATCTGATCCAAGAGTCTTCTCTGTAAGAAACCTAACAATGTAGTGGCTCAGAGTCCCTCTTGTCCCAGGGTCCCTCCTGCAGCTTGTCCACCAGGCATCCATCTCCCTTATGTTCTTCCCTCCTTCTGCTTGGAGAGGGGCAGCTGTGCTGGGGAGGTTATTTTTTCACTTTTAAAAATTGTGCTCTAAGTGGAGACTTACAAAACAAATTAATTTTTCACCATCATACACTTCTGTTCTCTAACATTAATTTCAGTGTAATTACACAGTGTCATTGTACTCTTCACATTTCTTTCTTGCACTTATGATTGCCATGAATCCTTTTTTGCTTGTCTTCCCTTCCTTTGGTGATGCTGTGCTGACCATTCTCTTACTGCATACTGCCTTTCCTTTCATCATCTTATGTGTCTGTTATCTACTTACTGATTTTAGAGGCTCTCATGGCCTAGTGGGGAAGGAGTTGTGCTGCTAACCCAGAGGCAGGCTGTTCAGTTCACCAGCTGCTCCCTAAAAGAGAGATGGACAGCCTCTCCCCATATGATTTACAACCTCTGAAAACATACTGAAAAAGTTGACTCCGACTCAGAGACAGGGAGGAATTTTTTTATTAATTTTAATGAAAGTTTTCAGAGACTTTGGATTTCCATTCATTCATTGTTGCACTTTTCTCTTTGCCTACCCCTCCTCCCAATTCACTCTTCTCTTTGAAAAGTAAAAGAAAAATTCTTTCACTGTTACACAGTCTTGCCCCCCAAGTCCACTCCACTGTGCAGCCTTCATTATGGACTCCTGTCATGACAATAATACCTAATCAT